GACAATTGATAAATGAGCGAACGTGCTAATTAATCATTAGCCCGGTACCGTAGAGTGGTCTTTCGATTTTATCCGCTATTTATATATATTTCAAACCGCAATGAATATCCGTAATTGATCGGCCAACCGAGTAATTAGCGCAGCTGTAATTGAGAGAAAATCGCGTTAAAGAAGCGCGCAAAGCGCTGAGCGGACAGCGTTTCCCGATCGCAATTGCATTTCCCATATTTGACGTTAATTGGCCGCGCGGGCAATTAGTTACAGTAATAATTGAGGAGAAACAAGATCCACACCGGTGCCAAAAACGCCGACTAATCGCGGTGTTATTCATGATTAGTCATGGCGTGAAGTCAAGCAAAAAATCTTCCAACATTCTGACATTATTTTAACCTATCCGGGTAATTTACATGTTTCCCTGCGTTTATTGCAGTTTCATCCTATAATTTAATTAGTTATTAATTGAAATAACTCTCTCGTCTATAGGCATGTTCGGATTCCCAGCCGGGTGCTCCCCGAGTCATCCTTGTTTAACATTCAGTACACAACAAGGGTAGAGTGATATCTAGGTGGCACTCGGGTGGGAATTTGAACCTATGTTGTAAATAGCCTATGTTGTTCCCAGCAAATTGTGACATTTTAACAAAAAAACAAAGTATCAGTTTTTAATTATAGAACTGTAAGAGACTTTTTGAAACATTAATACTTTTACATTCATCAAATTTTTTACTTTATTTTATTTTTACAAAACGTAGAGACACCCTTGTCAGTCTAGCCATTAATAACATACTATAGACAAGAAAATATTGTTAATGGTTTTGTTATTTTAATAAATATTTATTTCGTATAAATAAAAATATAATAAGATTCTTGCAACGCTACAATTTTGAAATAATTTCTTTTTTATTCAATAGCACATTTACAAACATGAGAGAGAGAGAGAGAGAGAGAGAGAGAGAGAGAGAGAGAGAGAAGTTATCATTTTCACTAATAGTTATCTATAACACAAAAAGTGAATTAACCATTAGTTTTACTTCTCAAAACCATGGATTATATAACAATATTAATTAATTAGCAAGAAACTAAACTAGTTCGTAATCAGTGAAGAAAAAGTTTACAATGAGTGATTTTTGGATAGAATTTTAATCACTGCTCGTTTTTCACGGTATTAATTGCCCTATGATAGAATTTCGATGAGTCAAATCTGAATACAAACCCATTCAAGTTTTTGGTATTTTCTCTTTTTTTTCACATTCGTCATTCCCTTGAACACGACGATGTACAAATAAATAAATACGATATAGAAGCAAAATCATTATTGGCAGTATTAAATACACACTATTCTAATTACAATGTACAACGTAACGTGTTAAAGATACTATCAATTTGCAGTATTCCGCGAAAGTTCTAATTTTTTAAACAAGTTGATTTTGTAAATAAGTCATTACAGCAAACAAATAATATAAAATAAGTTTTTATATATTTTAAAGCATAAAGAGTTTTAATAATTGTTATTTAAAACATGAGAAGATGATAAAAAAGATTGCAATTATTAAAATTATCACATTGCCAATACAATATTTTACTATATTGAATTTAAAAGAAAATAAATAAAAAAATAAATTAAATGGTTTGATATTAAAAATTTGTAACTAAAAAGGGACCACAAATTGTATCAAAATATTTTGTCGTTCTGACAGTTATAAATTCATAATATGTTATATACTAGACTTGTGTTTCAAAATTTTATTTTGCTCAATAGATAAAATGTAAAGAAATAGTTATATTGTACAAAAATAAAAAAAACATTTTCAAATTATAACGTAAAAACAAAATTGATCCTTTGGTAAGGTTTGTTTCACATCAACGACGCGCGAGAGATCGAGTGAGCATATCTGCTCATCCAAGTGCGTTTCTCTCAAATCCGGGAAACGGCGATCGATGTAAAACCGTCGTGTAATATCGAATACGACGAAAACTTGGGTGAATCTTGGGCACGATAGCGGATTAAAGTTCCAAATCCGGCGGCTCGAGAAATAATATGCAGACGCGCAAGAGAGATACGAGGAGAGGCAGGAAATGAGAGCAACCGGAGAGAGAGTTGAAATTAAATTAAACTTTCGCTGTGATAAATCTTATTCGTTGAAGTGATATCTTCGCAAGATATTACGCGAGAGATGCGATCGATCGTCCGTTCTTTCATCTCGTCGACGGAAAATCATGATCGTCAAAAGTCCGAAGATTAATTCCTATTATATTTGCCCGTTCTATCATTTATCTTGACTAATCGCGAATTATTAATTATTGATATCATATATTTTTACTCTTATACACATTTTTATATAAATATCTTTTAAAATTTTTTATATTTATAAGTTTTGTAAAAACATTTAAAACATATCTTATATATTTATATAATTTTCCCTTTTTCAACTATATCGCAGTATAATTAAAAATATTTAATACTAATATTAATTTTACTTTATATTAATTTTTTATAAAATATTTCGTATAATTGCAATTCTATTGGATTATGTAAGTGTGGTTATATATAAAAAGATAATAAAATAAACAAAATATTTTCTATTAGAGAAGTAAAAATACAAAAAAATACGGTTTCACGGATATCGCAATACCAATTGATGCAATTTATTTATTTGGCGTATAATAAACTTGCATGTAAAAATATATTTGTTGCACGGAAACTAATGAATTTCATTTCACCACGTTGTACACCGAGTCGGTTCACTGAGAAGCATTTTTATTGTAATTGGTTATCACTATTTGATATATTGAAATGAATGTGGTTTTTTCCCCTCCAAAATATGAAAAAATTATTTCGGATATGCGAAGATTTACCAAACCGCAATGTAATTAATATTTTCAGCGAAATATTCTCATAAAAATTTTTAGAAATCCATATTGTTTTTAGCTATATAATATTATAAATTCTATCCCCCTGTATACTTTTCTCTTATCTGCAATATGTATGTATAAACAGACTTTCCTTGAAAATGTTTATTGTATTATATTCACCTCTCATATATATGAATAACAATCAATTTCTAGATTTCCCACTTTTCCATGAAAAAAAATTTACATATATACATAATTTTTTTATATATCAAATTGGCTCATTTTTCAGTATTTACGCTTTTAACTTCGTATCACTAAAAATCGGCGGTATACGTTGAAATATAAAAACCTTACGTAAATTATTACAAGGGAAATAAGCACCATCAAATATAAAGTATCTCGAAAGAATTGTAAGAACTCTATTCACCGATGCTTAACCTCTTTGATTATGTCGAAACTTGATCTGTTTGATCGTATCGAAAGTTATATCTCACTCTGTCAGTTGAATAGCTTGTTCCTGTCAATTATTCTTTGCTTGAAATTATAAGTACGAAGAACCTTGTACCTCCAAAAGGAAAGTATCGCAAGTCCTTGTACAAAATAAGTTGATATAGTTTGTATTGAAGATATTTTCTGATACGTAAGTCACATAAATTTCCAAGTGATCTTAATAGCTAATTAAAAGACCTAATATTATGCCTTTTCATATAAAAATAATTTGTTGCTATGCGTTATAAAGTTGAAAAAGAGATCATTTGCGATAGAACGATATACAAAACGTTTTGCAGTCGTTCGTCGAAACATGATGACGATTACTGCATCGCGGAGTACAACAAGAGTTGCATGCATAAAAGCAGTCTCATGTATCCCTCTCCCTGATTTTTCCTCGCGCGAAACACGACTATCCGTCAACAGGGTGCCATCACGGGTAGTTTGCGAGAAAACATGAATTTGCACGGCGCATTAAAATAAATGGAATTTTCCATGATGCACCCCAGCGATGTCACGACGTTTTTGATATAACCAGTAGCATCCAACAAGAATCATCACATCGGTAGTCTTATTTCTCGTGCTGATTGCAATTTGTGCTAGAATGAAGAAATCGGTAGCTGACAATTCTGCTTCCATGCATAAGTTTGTTTACGGTAATGATAAACGAAACGAAATAGTTGCTAACAATCCTAATATCCATAACGAAATAATTTCTAACGCACATTTGATAAATATACAGAATGGTTCATTTTAATTAATCCTATCAATTTTCTCGAAAATTATTGATAATACGAAAAAATGTTATCATTAATAATTTTGGAGAAAATTGATTGGATTGGTTAAAATAAACTACCCTCTGTGTATATCATAAATAATTAAAAAATCGTTGTTTTATATAATTTTTTATAATTTGGGTCTGCCAAATTCAATTTTAAAAAACACGTAATTGACACGTTTTTAATATCATGACATTTATTTTATTAGCGACAAAACTGTTTAACAATTTATTATTTTTTAAATAAAACAGATATAAATCAATAGGATTTGTTTACCGTGTAAAGAAGACACATTCATTTTTAACACATGTAAGGAATATTTTCATTTAAAAAATAATCTATTTAATTAATAATAAAATCAATACTAGAAAAATGCTTATTACGATCGAAGCTGGATTTTCATTGCTTCAAATAATTCAACCTTGAATTACTAATATACACTATACATATATCTTAGTGGCTTAATGGCTTAGGACGCTCGTACGGAATACAAGAGATCCGTATTCAAGTCCCGGGTGAGGTGATATTTTTCACAATAAATTTATTAACAGTTTCAACATATTAATATCTTTATAATACGATGCTTAATGGTAGCATCAAATTATTAAATTGCTTGTTAATTCGCGATTACTAGAGCAGTTTTAATTGCGTTTATAGTTCGGAAAAACAATTCGCGCAGTTCTAAAAAGACTACAATATGCTATATATGCAAGTACATATATAGTGTATATTAGCAATTCAAGATTGAATTATTTAAAGCAATGAAGATCCAGCTTCGACTGTAATAGGCATTTTTCTAGTATTGATTGTGTTTCTCACATATGCGGTCTAAAATAAAAATTATTATTAATAAAATTATGACTTTGATGAGAGACTCACGTTCGAAATCATCTGTCTGGTTCCTCTTGTGATGAGTGCGATGATGATGACCAACCGGGAGGGGGATCTGCTTCATGTTGAACAGATCCCGATGTTTGGCATCGATCAGTGGATTTTCCAACTGCGATTCAATCACCTCGAAGCTGGTGGAATTGTCCGGATGAGCGATGACCTTCACTGTAAATGACCGGATGTAACAAGTTGTGCACAAGAAGTGCATTTTCAATATAAATCCATCCTCTGAAGGAATTAAAAAAACTTTTCTTCCGACTATATCACAAATAGCAGACGGAAGTAAGATTGTGCGCAATTCCGAAAATTATTTGGAAATCACTCTTATTTGAAATTGTAGCTGTAGTTGTGAGCTGCAAAATTTAATTCAGAAGACGTTGCAAGATTGCAAAAGGGTTTTCTTTAGTTAATCCGCGAAAATATTTGTGCGAAAACGTGACTGCAAATGATGTCACAGCGCGGGACGCGAAGAGTCTGAGAAATTAATACGATGGAACTAAAAGCTTTTTTTCTTAGCTACTGTATAGTCGCATCGAAGTAGAACGAGATAAATAATGAATCATGACTTTTTGACCTATCCTAAGTGCATTCGGACACATTGAATAAAATTCCAATCCCGTTAAATAAAGAAATAAACAAGAAAGAAATATAATATGCCAGTTGTATTTCTAATTGCAATAGAGTGTACTTATTTCTTTAATTCGTCAAAGAGAGAAATTAATCAGATTATTAAAAGTTTAAAAGAGAAAAAAATTAATATAATTATTTCAAATTTATAATTGAGATCTATTTTTAATATAATTTGTTTTAATAATAATAACATTTTAATAATACATATGATAAGCAATATATGTAAATTTTGGAAATGTGTTGTGTATGTATGTTCAAAAGATACTATAAAAATGTATGTACATATTCGAAATAAGCATTATATTAACATAAACTGTACTAAAAATATTTATATATTTAAATTTTCTCTTATGTTTGAAGAATATGTTTACCTTCAGTATACCTGAATTATACCCAGCATAATTAAAAATACGTATAATAGTATGCATAAATCTCTCTATCTGTATATGTGTGTATATTTCTCAGGTATACTTATTATTTGTTAAAATATATTCCTCAGCACGTATTGAGAAAACAAAAAAAAATTGAATACACTCAGTTTATATGACTATGTCGTGTATAACATAGAGCGTAAATAATGTAAAGAGAAAATATATAGATAATATAATATACCTTTATATATATATACATCATCTCCAAGTATTCTCAGAACCTTTTTGTGCTGTTAGGCGTGTGTGTGTGTGTGTGTGTGTGTGTATAATTAAAACATTATATATATTTTGTCTTTTAAAAAGAAAATATTATTTTGCCCTAATATTTTCTATGATCTATCAAAGATATTAAATTTTACAAATATATTTATTCTTCCATTTTTTTGGTTTTAAAAATAATTAACTAGGTATTCGGTTACTTTCTAAAAATTTTTATTTGTATACTGCATAAGATAGTCTAATAATTTCGTAAAAAAATGCTTTTAATAAAATATAGAACCATATCTAAAATGTTTCACATGTAGTGAGTTAAGAGAACGTTAAGAAAGAATAAATAATACTAAAAACAATACTAGCGATCAACCTGAGCTCTTAATAATTATTATTTTATTTTGCTATTAAAAATTAATTAATTTGCTGTACTATCAATGCAGTGTTTCTACTTTGGGGAAAAATTTCAATTTCGGGGGAATTTTTGTATCATTGAGAGGAGAAAAGGAAAAAGGGGAAAACACGCGGCGGAAAATTCCAAAAAATTGAAAAACAATAAAAATATTTCTTGCAGTAATGGAAAATACAAATTTTTTAATCAATTAATTTAACAGTCTTGTGCTATCAGTATCGGCAGCTATCAATATAGAGATAAGAACTCAGATATTTATACCCGTGTCTTGATATAGACTGTCATTAAAAATCTATAGTTCACGTTACGTACGACTATATTTTCAATACCAGCAGTGTGCATTGGAATACGATATATATAATATTATTATACTATTAGCCTCTATACTATTAGCTTCTTAGGTATAAGACCTCTCCTCATACATGAACTGTACAGTATTAAACAGGGGTTCAATTTTGTAATATATAACTTGATAAAAATGACAAAAATAAACAAATTTATAACAATATTTTTAATTTCATTGATCAATAATATTTAACAAATTTTATTTTTGTAATTTTTATTAAGTTGTATAATACACAATCGATCTCCTATTTCGTACATAACAATAAAGACAATTCATACATAAAGGATTAGCGATCCAGTATTATAGGGTGCTTTATAATATATAGGTATAACTACAGAAATGAATTCTGGACGTAAAAATAATATCAAAAAGTTAATATAAATGTTAGTTATACCTGACTTTCTGAGTAATCATTTTAGTATTTGATTAAAGTTCGTTACAAATTGAACTAGAGTAGTGTTTTAATATATTTCTGTCTTTATATATAAAAATGTCAGCAAGATTAAGATATATAAAGACATATAAAGATACTACGCTGGCTCAACTTGTACCCGGAATTAATGAAATATGAAAATGTTTGTCATAAAAAACAAGGCGAGATAAAATAAATATTTGAACCTTTTCGTGTTATTTTTGTGCTTTTAGTTTATTTCTGAAGTTATGTTCACATGTTATAAAACATCTGATATAGGTCGTATTCCGATATACACTGCCAGTACTGAAAATCTCTCACGAAATCTATCTAATGATAAAAAATTAATTATTCTGTGACTTTTAGTTTTAAAACCACATTTGCTCTTATTATTATTAAAATACATTTTTAATCAATTTTATTGAACATTGTGTTTAATTTGTTTGTTTATTCTGAATTAAAACAGCCTATTTAACCTGAGAATAACAACGATAAAATTAATTATAAAAAAGTAAAATAAATGCTTTAAATATATAAAATTTCTAAAATTTTCTATTAAAATAAAAAATTTGAACGTGTGACCCACTCTCTTAAAATAATAAAATCTAGGACACTGAGAGAAAGGATTTTCTTAATTTAACAAGCCACCTGATATCTCTAGTAAATGATTTGACAACAAATTATTATTTTAATATTTGTTGTGATTGATGCTAATCTGCTATTCCAATAGTTATTTATAGTAATAGAAGCAATTTATGCAAAACCTAGCCTATTTTTTGATAGACTTTTATTTGCTAGCAATACTGATTATTTTTATTTGTATCGTAAATCATGTATTATTTGTTATATCAACGAATATTGAGAAATTCGCAATAATACCTGATCAATTCGTTTTCTTACCAAACCATCATATTTGTCATTCTTTTTTGTTCCTATAACAAACTCATTTCTCTCAAAGGATAACAACATTTTTTTTTGGGAGGGAAATTTTAAGGTAAAGCGAAGGAAAAAAAAATGAATTTTGGAGGAGAAGACGGGATATATATAATATGTATATAAATATGTATATAAATATACACATATGTACACAAATACCAGACTATTCTAGTAGAAACACTGTATCAATGTGTTATTAGAAATCTCATAAATTCTAAAGTATCTACAATTATAATTTACTTACTATGTATACGTACACATTTCTTTTAAATAATTAACTTCTTCTGTAGCTAAATAAATTATTAAGCATACTACGCTGGGGACATGAGTATCGTATGCACATTTTTCATATCGATTACATATATAAAAATAAAAGACCAATAGAAATTCTAAATTAAAATTTTTACCGTTATTATAATATAAATTATTGCTATAAACATTACTGTTATTATGATAATGTTAAGATTATCATAAATTAACTCTTTTAACAGTTTTATCTCTAAAAAAGATAATTAATAATATCAAGCTCTAAGTAAAAATTTTCCAGACTCTCATATTTTTTTCCATTTCCTAAAAATATTATGCCGAAATAAGGTCTAAAAAAAGTACGTATTCGTGACGCGTGCCCATCACAGTGCCCGACGTATTCACGCAAAATAAAACTGTTCAAGACATCTAACGTGTCCTTGGACACGTTCTTCGGCGGTGAGAAAATCCCGAGATCTCTTGTGCGTGCCGGTGGGCCCGGTACGAACCTTGATCGACGAACTCTTCGCGGAAATCGAAGATCCGATCGACGGGCGGCGCGGCTGGCCTGATTTCGAGGTCATCGAGGTCGTCGTCGGCGCGGTCGAAGATCGCGCGGTGCTCGTAGGTGGGCCTAGGCGCAAACTTCCTCGGGGCCGG